CGACGACAGCTGCGTCCCAGCTGAGACCCAGGTGGCCCTGCGCACCGCGGAGAGGAGGGCGGGTGTCCGTGGCGTCCTGTCCGCAGTTGCGTCCCGCTGTCGCGTGGCCGGAGGGCAGCGGGTCCTCACCCCGGGCCCGGGAAGCGGGAGAGACCCCGCAAAGCAGAGGCTGATGCACAGGTCAGAACGGTGCGGAGCCGCGGAGGCCAAAGCAGAGGCGTCCTGCGGAGAGAGAAGAGGTTCCCCTGGTTTTTATTTGACAAAATTAAAGATATAATAGCGAGAACTGAGGACAGTTTTTAATATGAATCTACTGGGGAACGGAGCTCTTCGGGGCTGATATCTTGCTTAATTGGAGACAATTAGTGTTCCCTGCCACAGATGGGTGGCCAGCGGCCATCGGTAAAACCCACTCCTGACTCAGGGGCTGTACAAAAGCAGGCAGTGAGGACCGACCAGGGCCAGCCCGGGGCCAGGATCCCTGCGCTTGGCCATGCTCACCCCTGCCTCAGGAGAGGGAGGGGAGGGAAAGTCAGAGAAGAGAGGGAGCCGAGTCTTTGTTGAGCACCTACTATGTGCCAGGTTCCAACCAGGCCCCTTGCTGGAGTGGACCATTCTTTGGGGCCAGGAACTGGGAACTGAATTCTTGCAGGGGCAGCACACAGTAGGCCCAGGGGACGTTCCCACTGGGACTCCTGGATCCCACTCTGAACACTGTCCCTCCAATTTGCCCTGTGCACAACCCTTCCTCCAGGCCAAGGTCATGAGGCATAGGTGACTCTGAGCCTGTCCCCAGGGTTGGGGGGCTTCCGTGGCACTGTCCCTCCTACTCCTCCTCCACTGTGGCCTCCCTGAGGTGTCCCACTGTGGACCACCAGGCCCTGTGGCCAGCCCAGCCTCCTTCCTGCTGGCCTGTGCCTGCCCCGGGCTCCCGCCGCCTCCTGGGACGCACACTGGGAGCAGGCAGGGGACGAGCAGGCAAGGCCGTGTCCCACCTGGTGTGGATCTGGAAAGGAGACGGGGACGGGGACCGTTGAGGACCAAAGAGTGAGGCTGGCCTCTCCAAGGACAGCAGCGACTGTCCTGGGAGGCGACCCCTACCGCGTGGACTGTGGTCATCTCAGTCTTGGGAGCCTCCTGGGGGAGCAGAGTTCTGAGACCTGGTGGACATTTCTAGAAGGTTTGCTGTCCAGCTGCTCTGGGAGCCGTGTCTGGGGCAGGGCAGAGGCAGGGAGACTGGTCAGAAGGCCAAGGAGGGGTGCCCAGGCTGTGTCCCCACTCAGGAGTCGGTCCCCACCCAGCCTGTCCCCACACCTGAGACAGTGGTCACCAGGTGCTGGGATGAGGTACTTCCCCCCCGGAAGTCCCAGCGCTGCCCAGCTGGGCCCAACCCAACCCAGGAGACTCGGCTCAGGCAGCCACATCTGCCCTCAGCACTGGGCGGTGAGGCCCCAGCACCAGCCTCCAGGGTGAAGCCTCCTCCGTCCCTCTGCTCTCACGGCATAACCCATGCTGGAGCTGACCCGAGGTCAGGTGGAGGGCTCAACTACTGACCCTGAAAAAATGTCCTCCCAGCTCAGCCCAGGGGCTCCCTGAAGTCCCCATCAAGAGTGTCCTCCAGTTCATCCGCCCTGCCAGCTCTCTCTAGGGTGGA